CCCCCCCCCCCCCCCCCACACACACCTTTCCAGACCTGCCAAACTCCCCCGTTCTTGACTTCAGCTGCCCACACCTTCTCCTGGCAAACAGTGAACATTGCACATGGCAATCCTGATTCAGTTTTAGGTGGCCTAAACTAAGATGCCTAAACCTGAGCTAAGTCCCACAAGTGCTTGTTTGCACCCTTACATTTTAATCCATTTTCCATTAATAACCTTCCAGACTCTAAACTGATGTAAACATTAACAATATGAAGCATTCTGGTAAACTGGAAATTCCACTGCGTGTACAGTGGTACGTTACGTGCACACTGGGGCTTGAGGATTTTGATGTAATTCTTAATTCACTGCAGCACTTTCCATTCACATTCCTCATAGGTTTATTTCAACTGATTATTTGATTCTGTAAACTTGCTTCTTTCTAATGGTCCAGTCATGGTTCTGAATTATTGTATTTTTTTAAGTCACTGTAATGAGTGCCAACCCCACAGAAAAGAAACCAGTGATTCTTATGTGTTTTTCTACACAATAGGGTGCGACTGGATACCAAGGTTCCCCTGGTGAGCCTGGACAACCTGGCCCTGCTGTAAGTATCAGGTTTACATTAGTATGCACATCAAAATTCTGCTACTTCTGGCTTTACTAACCAAAATGTCCACCTTGCTTTTTAAGATTTTATTTCATAAATTACTCAGGGGAATTCAACTTTTTTTTTCAGGGACCTCCAGGCCCAGCTGGAATAATTGGCCCAGCTGGCCCAGCTGGAAAAGATGTAAGTTCAATATCATTCATCCATTAACAAACCACTAGTGACCCCTAAACAATTAACTACAGTGTTACTAAAACAGATGCACCAGGGTGTTTAATGATTTTTGTGCTACTGTTTATAATCCTCCAATTTCTAGATTTAGCTGTATATATAGATGTAAAAATTTGCTCTTGGGTATAAAACGTCTCTGCTCCAAAAGAATAATAAGAATCTCAGGCACTTTATTAGACTACTGCAAATAACACATAGGAACAAGAAGTGAAGACAGGACAAGGTGACTAACTTAGCAGATGTTCTAGTCTTTCTTTGCTGTTTTAGCTTAAATTGTAGTTTAGATTGTCATTCATGTGTTAGGAGATTTACCATGCTTGTGCTGTCATGAAGTTGCAGGTTTTCATGTGTGTTTGTCAATTTGGTGATCTCTTTTGGCTGTTCTGAGAAGACAGAGGATTGATTTCCACAATGGTTTATCTTGCATTAACGTTATTAAAGATCCAAGGACCAGTGCGGCTAATGGAAGACTCCCATTAACTTCAATGGATTCAGACCCTAAATAAATGAGTAGTTATAAAGATAAGACACAGATTACTGTTAATATATGCCTGAAATCTGGTTCTGAGGTTAAATTTGATTAATTAAAAATCAGTTATCTATTTTTTGAAAGACCAGAGTCTTTAATCCCTTTTAATCTTTTCTCATTGGTAATAAACATCAGCATACAGTGCTTCACCATCATTTTTACTAAAACTAGCTAGAGGAAGTCTAATTCATGTTAAACAAGGTGTTAACTTTATTTCTGAACTTTATGAAGTGCTTCAAATATTTAAACAATTTAATTTTATATTGAAATTAATTTTACCCTGGCCTATACTGATGTGACCTTCTCCATTGGTATTAATGGGAGGTCCACCTCAGTATTTCAGTTTGTTTCGTCATGTAGGGCATTTTTATATGTGTTTCTGATGAAGCGCTGTGAGCTTTAATTAGCAAGCTGTGCTAATTAAAAGTACCTGCACATCGCATGTATCAACCTTGCTGCTTGTCCCCATGCTGATGAAATAGTGCTGGTGACCTTCAAACTAAAGCTCATTGGATGTGTTTTATCTCAAAGTGCACCACCACCATTTTGTCAGCACGGAAATGCATGGCGACACTGATACACATGATGCACAAGGCTGCTGGAGCATTTCAATTTCCATGCTCCAGCAGGCTTGATTAATTGAGTCTGCTCTGATGTGCTGGCTCCCTGCATGTGTGTAGGAGCCCATAATGTTCATTGCCAATAACTGAAGTAATAAAAATTCAAGACCTCGCAACCCCTATATGTTTCCCTAGGGAGAACCTGGAAGACCAGGCAGAAATGGTGACCGTGGATTCCCTGGACCAGCGGTAAGAAAATGCTCTTTCAGAATCACAACTGATCTTTTGTTGGTGATTTTGCATTTAAAGTGTAAGTCAATACTGAACATGGTATTTAATACATAATAGGTTGCAAAATAACGCACGTGTTTTATGTTTAGGGCCACAAAGGACACCCTGGTGTGCCTGGAATGCCTGGATTGAAAGGTCAAAGAGTAAGTATTAGTAGTTTTCAGTCATTTACTCTAATTAAACCCTAAAGTCTCATTCTCCCTTTTTGCTTATAGTTCCCTTGCTAAAGATTTTAAGGCTTTTAGATTATACAGTCTGGTTTCTGTATGGCAAAAATCACTGCTTCCCTAGCATTTAGTTCCAATGGTCAGTCACTGTTCACCATGTACGAGTTAATTTTAATTTTCATATGTCTGGCTCTAGCTGCTGATGCTTGAAAAATATAACAGCACAGGCCTTGTTAAAAGTCCCCAACCAGTAGCTTCTATTAAGGATGGGAGAATGGGGCACCACCCACAATCGCTGACTTAAAGGAGACATAATCAGTGTTGTAATCATATGCTAGTACGATTTGGATAGGCACTAACAAGAGACAGTATGAAGATTGCAATACAAGGCAAAACATATTCTGTCCCTATAGGGAGTCATATAAGTTGGTAGCATTTTAAATGTGAACCTGTTAATTGGCACTCATTATTCTAAAAACTGCTTCTGTAGTAATTTGCATTCATATTAGACACACAAAATTTAGGCATGCAAGCAAAGGATTGTGTATTTTTGCTCTTACTGAACTAAAATAATTATACATGAAAAAATAAAGAAAATGAAATATTAAAGAGCCAGTAAATTAGTTTTAGGTTTAGAAATGAATGTGAATTTGATATGAAACATTCTAGAAGCAACAGAAATAGAAGTTCAGAGAAACCTTGCTTCTCAAATAGCCTTCCCAGAGATTATAGAAGCAGATACACAACAAGCATTCTTGTTTCACATAATGCAAATGCAGACATGTTTTTTGCTGGGTTATAATGATGGTTTCATATTTTGATCTCCTTAAATAATTCTGTACAAATCATTGGTTCAAAATAAATCTGAAAATGACTTGACAATTGGGTCATAATAAGTCGATACTCTTCTCCTAGGGGGTCTGAAATATTTGAGCTTTAACAACAACACAGTGGTAAAAACTCTAAGAAAATATTGCTGTCAGGGTATTGTAGTATATAAACCTTTTTATTACGAGACATAGGTATGACTTAAAAATTAGTATATAAACATTCCCTCCCACAGAAATTTTGGAAGATTCAGATCTGAGCTTTTTAACTGCAACTTATTTTAATATTGGGTCATTAAAGATCTAAAATTCCAGATGTGAAGATTTATTAGAATTTTAGCAATGTAAGACAGATATCCTCAAACTACAGTACTCAATTTGTATTGTTACGCTACTGTAATTTTTAACAACAGGTTTTATTAAACTTCCATAGGTTTTTTTCACATTACTATTTGGCATAATGTAAGCCATCTATCTGCAATATAAGATATAAAGTTAGTCTTTTCAAGGAAAAATAAATAAAGAATTACTTTAGTATGTACTTGAAGTTCAGTATTGCTTAAGGATGACCAAGTTTTCAAGAGTACGAATCAGATACATATGTATTCAGATATTTTATCTTGTTTCCAAAGGGCAATGATGGAAAAGACGGTAACAGAGGAGAAGCTGGTGCTCCTGGTCCAAAGGTAAAATAACCTTGCCATTTCCTATGGAAAATATGTAATTTTATGCTGAATTGTTTGTTTTGCAGCTATGCTTTCCATATTATGCTTTTAGTTTTATTTATAAAAAAAAAACTTAAGCTCTAAATGTTCAGTCTGATCATTTCTTTTTATGTCCCTGACTCAATAAAAATAGTCCATAATCCCAGGTAATTTATCTGCTATTACAACACAGCAGCTATGATTTCCTAAGAGTAAAAATATAATGACAGACCAAGTCTTCCTAATATTGTATGCCTGGACTTGTTGAGACTTCTCACAATTTACTGATATAAGACACTGAGGACATTTTGCACCTCACAGAAGGTGCTGAATGGTTGGGATATTTCTTGTTACTAAGTGTCAAATCAACAAAATAACATGTATGAACTACTGTATTAAAAGTTAATTTTATCATAACATGGTATCCTCTTCATATAACAGGGTGAAAATGGTCATCCTGGAGAAAGTGGATTGCCTGGGGCAATGGTAATTTCTTTTTCAGTATATTTTATTTGGAATTTTGAATAATTGGTACGTTTTCTGCTTTTCAATGCTGACTGTCTTCATTCCTTTCCTCATAAAGGGCCTGAATCTGCCACTGTTACACTGAGTGATATTTATCCATGCAGAAATATGTTTAAAGAAAATAGGGCTAAAGAAAAGGAAATTTAAAGATAATAGTGTTGTTGCTTATTACATAGTGCATCTGAGTATCAAAACCATAAATCAATGTCTTTACTTTCTTTAGGGTCCAAGAGGTCCCCCTGGTGAAAGAGGAAGACCAGGAAATCATGGTGGTCCTGTAAGTAGTTAGGATAAAAATACAGAATTACTAATGTTTCTCTTGCAGAAGTAAACAGGTCTTCATAATGCTTTGTACACATAAAGTGTAAATTCCCTGCTTCAGAGACCTTTAAGTCTAACTTACACAGAGAACAACAAGCAATGAAAAACACCATGGAAAGGATATGACAAACTATATACTGTATTTACCCAAATCCAAGACAACTTTTAATTTAAAGCAGTGCCCCAATAACTGGATTCTAGACATGTAAAATAATAAATTTGTTATAATTATCCATGTCTAGAATCTAATTATCAGAGTGTGGTCTTAAGTTTGTACCCCCAAAGCAGCGTTGGAGGCAAGGAACCAGACCTGTGCTCCTTGCCCCCTTCACCTTGCTTCCCCTGCCTGCCTCCCCACTCATGCTCCACATGTCTTTGGCTGCTCCCCTGCGGCCTGTCTCTCCTGCCACTTGCCCCGCTGGTGCCAGCCCTCCTGATCCCTGTTCCTCCTGCAACTTCCCCATTTGGCCCTTGTGCCTGTGCCTTCCACAGAGGATAAAGCTAGACTGTTCTCAGTGCTGGCAGATGACAGAGCAAGAAGCAATGGTCTCAAGTTGTAGCAAGGGACATTTAGGTCAGATAGGAAAAACTTTCTCACTAGGAGGGTAGTAAAACACTGAAACAGGTTACTCAGACAGGTTGTGGAATTGCCATTCTTGGAGGTTTTTAAGAACTGGCTAGACAACATTTTGGATAGGGTGAAGAAGTTGGGAATGGTTCTGCTTTGAGCAGGGGGTTGGATGGCCTCCTGAGGACCCTTCTCACCCTCATTTTCTATGACTTTAAAATTATAACTCTGTTTATGGCTCTGGGACAGTCAGTAGTGGCATTGGCTCCAGCCTGGCCAGGTGGGGAAAAACAGCAGCAGCAACTCCAGGCCTGTACATGTTGGGCCAGAAAGGCTGGAGGTGAAATAAGCAGTGGAAGGCAAGGGACTAGCAGGCAGGTGGCAGGGGAGCAGGCTCTGTGGTCTCCACTGTTTTGTCTCCCCCATGCTTCCCCCCAACCTGCACACTGCAGGTCACCCTATGTGCCCCCACGACTTTGTAGTCTCCCCAACACTTCCCTTGCCATGAGCCACTCTGACGCATAGCAGTCAGCACCTCAGCTCTGGCTTCAGCCTCAAACCCCAGGACTGCCTGCCTCAGGCCATAACTTGCATATAAAAGAAAGCATTTCCCCTGGCATATTGACTGGGGTAAAAAGCCTCATCTTGGCTTAGAGTAAATGCAGTAGTATTTCCAAAGTTATCATATAAAATTACCAGATCAAAAGGTAAATGTAATAATTAGCTTGATACACATTTTTACTCTATGCCTTCATACGTTATGCTTCACCACCCCGCTCTACTGTATAATTTTGAGAGGAAAAGTTCAGCCTAAAGTAGAAGTCAGCCCTAAAGGCTTAACATAATAAGTAGCTGCAGAGAAGCAAAAGAGGCTATATGGTATCCAAGGTCAGGAAGATACTCACTCCAGTCTTAGAAGTGAGCAGGGGTCATGATTAACATTATTTCATAGACATTAGGGCTGGAAGGGACCTCAGAAGATCATCAAGTCCAGCCCCCCAAAGGGCAGGAAGTCAGCTGGGGTCATAGGATCCCAGCAAGATAAGCATCCAGTTTGCTCTTGAAGGTGTTCAATATAGGTGCTTGAACCACCTCCGATGGCAAGCTGTTCCAGACCTTGGGGGCTCGGACAGTAAAGAAATTCTTCCTTATGTCCAGCCTGAAACAGTCTCGCAGTAGTTTATGACCGTGTGACCTCATCATCCCTTGGGGCACTTTGGTGAACAAACGTTCCCCCAGATCCTGGTGGTCACCCCTGATAAACTTATAGGTGGCCATCAGATCACCCCTGAGCCTGCGTTTTTCCAAGCTAAAGAGCCCCGTGGCTCTCGGCCTGTCATTGTAAGGTTTGTTTTCCTGACCTCTGATCATGCGCGTGGCTCTTCTCTGGACTTTTAACTAACGTAAAATCTAAGAGAAGAATATGTGCCATATATACTAAGCAATGAAGTTGTCTGTCACATCTACAAAATAGATGATAATTCTCAAATGATTCCTGTTATTGTTTGGGGTATATTTTTTTAATAACACTTAAGGGTATTTGTACATGCCACAGGGGTTTACTTTGGTTTAATTCTCCCTAAATTGAAGCAGTGGGTATTTAAAAACACCACTTCAATTTAGGGTGAAGTAAACCCCCGTGGCATGTTGTATACAAGGGTTGGGCCCAACCCTTACCTGCCTCTCCAGTGGCAGGGCGGGGAGGGCGAGCTGCCGGCACGCTGAGCAGTCCCTGAGCTGCAGGGCGGGACTGGTGCTTCCCTCCACAGCAGCGGTGGTGCCCCCCAGGTGGCACTGGACCTAAGTGGTCCCGGAGGACACCACAGCTGCAGAGGGAAGCACCAGGCCACCATGCAGCTCAATCAGGCAGGCTCCAGGAAGAAGAAGAAAAAAAAAAAGGATCAGGGTCACTTTTTTTTTTTTTCCCTTCAGTGGAGCCTGCCTGCACAGGCTGCCACCGGGCTGTCTACACAGGCTGCCTGCACAGCCCCTGAGATGCACAGGGCCTGGTGCTTCCACTTATGGCAAACTAAACCACCTCAGAGATGTTTTATTTTGCTGCGTCCCAAAGTAAATTTAACGTACATTATGCCACCGACATGTGCAAACAGCCTGCCATTAAAGCGCATTGTACCATCAACACATGCAACCAGCTGCACCATTAAAGCAGTGCAAAAGGGCATTAAGCCATTTTGAAGGCCAATTTTGTGGCATGTGCAAATGGCCTATGTCTCTCTATGGTTTGTAAGTTACTGTAATTTTGAAATATGTAGCTTTGTTTGCTACTTTATTAATTCAATCTAAGACAAAGTCACACATCATATTTTGGGTTAGCCCTGAATGAAAGATTTTCTGGTATCTAATAGCACAGCAGAGGAAAAGCATAGCTGGTAGGGAACTTTTGGGTAATAGTTAATTATTAAGAAAATAGTTAATTATTAAGAACACATAGCTGGTGTATTCTGAGTTCCTTAATAAATAAGAAACATAGGAAATGTATTAGGCATAAGGAAACATAACTTGAGTGTCAATATCCTTGTTTAATGGCTTTTTACATTTTGAAAAAGAACACTCGATATCTGATATGTTTTATTTTTTCTGTAGGGTGCTGCTGGTAAAGATGGTATCCCAGGAGTAGCTGGTCAACCTGTAAGTACTTTCAACTATTCTCTTATTTTAATTATTACATTGATAAACTGCTGCTTCATATACTTGATATGCTAAATTTATGAATACATAAGACCACAAAAAACCCATACTGAGACCAACAAATAGTCCATCTAACCCAGTATCCTGTACCCAAGTGTGGCAGGGGCAGATGTCATAGAGGGGGAGAACTAAACCAGATATAACTAGAGTGATCTTTCCCCTATTCAGTACCCTTCCTGATATCCACCATTATAGTTTAGAGATGCCAGAGGAAACATCTCCAATCAGTCTGTTCAATAGCCATTAATAGATCTATTATACATGACATTATCTACCACATGTCATGGTGTGTAAATCTATTTGGTATGTAAGTCAACCCCATATTTCTGATCAAAAAGGTTAGGATTTTCGTAGATCCAGTGTATATGTCAACCCACATTTTATAATGATCCATTTGTAAAGAATTCCATGTACAGTAAGTATTCTCTTGTAGTGGGAAGAATTCAGAAAAAACAATCACTGTCATGATTGTTTCTGATGACGGTCATGCTAACTACCACCAGCTTTGAGTTACATACAATGAACAATTTCCTGAACACAATTTAAAAATCCTCAGTCATTTTCTTCATTGGAAGTGTCAGCCCCAAACAGTTCCATCCAATCATCCAAATGGTTAATTTGATCATTGTATGGGTCCTTCACATCAGAAGTTTCAGTTTACATTGGAAGTTTCATGTAAATGTTCAAAGATAAATGAACTTAGAAACATTTTTTTTTATTTCAAAGTAGTGCTATGGTGTATAAGTCAAGGTGGAATTTTAAGGGTAAATATTTTGGCTTTCAAACTTTGACTTATATACCATGAAATACAGTAGTCTCCTTTTGAACCTGGCTAAGCTATCTGCCTCTATTACCAACACGGTCATAAATTTCACTAGGTTTGATTCAGTTTATGAATTAATGTCCCACACAACACTATAGGATGCATGCACATACCTATATGTTTGTTTATTATTATAATCGAAATATAATGCACTTATTTTGAATGAAAAAGAAAAAGAAAATAACATAAACATGTCACTATATATGTGTGTGTGTATACCCTAATACTTCTCAAATTATAAATTTATGAAAGTAGTGAAAACTTTTATATGGACCAGATTTTGATCAAAGAAAAATCCTAGAAGAATGAGAAAGTTTACCATTTTCTCCCAAAAAGGAGGAGGATAGAGCTATATTTTGGCAGGAATATATCAATATTCAGTGTAATATTGCAATCAGTGTAAAACATCCTTCATATGTGTGGTGCTCCATATGGAATAGGGAAATGTTGGACAGAACCTGGACATTAGGAGTAGGTGTCTAATGACTTTCCATAGCATTCTACTTGTGTAAATCTTTGGGATTTTCCTTAGAAAAATGAATTACAATAGAATCAGGTCTCTTTTTTTCACTAAATAATTTTTTTGATGATGGGGTTTGTCAGAGGAACCCAGGGGTATTTTATTCCTGAGGATCCAGAGTCTGCTATAATTGTCCTAACACTTTAAGTTTTCCACAGGCTTTAAATGCCACACTCAGAATTGTTTGGGATTATATGTAGAAAACTTAACAATTAGAAAATCACAGGTTCCTAACAAATGCATGGGATTTTTCCCATATAGCCTGATAAATGGTTCTAAATTGTTATTTTCCAGCCACTATAAACAAAACAAGTATGTTGCCCATTCTTCTGTCTTATGCACACACATGCGCGCGCGCGCACACACACATTAAAGTGAGCCATTAAATATATATTTTTACTTGACTTTATTACATTACAATCAAATAATTCAATACAAACACATTTGATTCCAAATTAGGAAGAGGGAGGACACAGGAAACTATAGGCCTGTTAGTCTTACCTCAGTCCTGGGGAAGCTCTTTGAGAAAATTATCCAGGAGCACAACTGCGAGGGACTAGCATGGGAGTGTATGCTTAGGGGCAACCAACATGGGTTCATCAGAGGCAGGTCCTGTCAGACCAACCTGGTGGCTTTCTATGACCAGGTCACTAAATCCTTGGATGCAGGCGTTGTGGTGGACACAATCTTTCTGGACTTTAGAGAAGCCTTCGACACTGCCTCTCACTCCATTCTCATTAAAAAATTAAGCAACTGTGGTGTCAATTCCTACACGGTCAGATGGGTTGCCAATTGGCTTGAGGACCACACCCAGAGAGTGGTGGTGGATGGGTCATTTCCGACTCGGAGGGATGTGGGCAGTGGGGTTCCGCAGGGCTCGGTCCTCAGGCCCTCACTGTTCAACATCTTCATCAGCGACTTGGACAAGGCGGTGAATAGCACCTTGTTCATATTCGCAGATGACACTAAGATGTGGGGGGAGGTGGGCATGCTAGAGGGGAGGGACACGCTACAATCAGATCTGGACAGGTTACAGAGGTGGGCGGATGAGACTAGGATGGGTTTCAACACTGACAAGTGCAAGGTACTGCACCTGGGGAGGAAGAACCAGCAGCATACCTACAGGCTGGGGAACTCCCCTCTCGCCAGCACAGAGGCAGAAAAGGATCTTGGAGTCATTATTGACTCAAAGATGAATATGGGCCGCCAATGTGGGGACTCAGTCAGAAAGGCTAACCACACCTTGTCATACATCCCCAGATGCATCACGAGCAGGTCCAAGGAGATGATCCTCCCCCTCTATGCGACCTTGGTCGGGCCCCAGTTGGAGTACTGCATCCAGTTTTGGGCACCGCACTTCAGGAGGGATGTGGACAACATGGAGAGGGTCTAGAGGATGGCCACCCGCATGATCAGGGGTCAGCAAGGCAGGCCATACAAGGAGAGGCTACAGGATCTGAACCTGTTCAGCCTCCACAAGAGAAGGTTGAAGCCTTCTGTAAACTGGCCAAGGGAGACCAGCAGGCAATGGGAGAGTCCCTGTTCCCCTGAGCTCTACCAGGAGTAACAAGGAACAATGGCCATAAGCTGACAGAGAGCAGATTCAGGCTAGATATCAGGAGGCACTACTTCAATGTCAGGGTGGCTAGGATCTGGAACCAGCTTCAAAGGGAAGTGGTCTTCACTCCTACCCTGGGGGTCTTTAAGAGAAGGCTAGATAGACACCTTGTCACAATCATCTGACCCCAGCATTCATTCCTGCCTGTGGCAGGGGGTCAGACTTGATGATCTGCTCAGGTCCCTTCCGACCCTACTAACTATGAAACTATGAAACTATAAAGCTTGACTGGGGATCACAAAAGTATAGATGTGATACCTTAAGGCCATACAAATTTCCTCTTCTAGAGCATGGCTTATGTTTTCCAAGTATTTCCTTAATTGCATGACAGAAAAACATTTCACACAATCAGGTTTATTTCTAAATTAGAATACATTGCAGATGATCTTCACTTTTTGCAATATTAACATTGTTCTCTTTATTTCAGGGGCCCCCCGGCCCCCCTGGAACTCCAGGATTCACAGGCCCTCCAGGTTTTAAGGTATCTATTCAAACTTATTTTAATATTTAATAAATATAATATTGAATATTATTTTAATATAACTATCTAAGATGTGTTGGTACATTTTTTACTACATGGCTCTCACTGTCTGACTACTGTTACATCAATTTGACTCATTCTGATAGCTGGTGTGTCCTGTACATGGGAGGCGGTAAATCCTGCTACGTTTCCCTGAGCCTTCCCGTTGAAGTCTGCTCATATAAATGAATGGAGCAGGATTTTGCCCATTGTTTAAAAACTGTCTCATTTCTGCTTGCATTTTGGATATTTAATGATGGTTTTAAGGACTAGGCTGTCATGTATTTTATGTTGTGTATAGGACAACTTCTCTGTTTCTTTTGGCAGATTGCCATTACTAATTATTCTGTCTGTAAGGTCTGATATTTATCCACATTTAGATACACTGATAGTGTAAATAATAAAATCTTCCAATTAGTATTCTGGTTATTTATTTTGTGTCCCTCTAATGTGAAGCTAAGCCCATCACATCACAACCCTGTTAACAGTTCCTTTTAATATCCTTTTTCTGTTCTGAAACCACTATTTATCCCTCCTTTTCTGGACTGGCTCTGCTTCTCCATGTTAAATATACAAATAATATATTCCTTTTCCTATTTCTTGTCTTAAGTAACAAGGGTTAAATCACAGCGTTGTTCTTCTGCACAATATGAGATGGAGCTATGACAACCTGGTAGTGGAACACTCAGAAGGCAGGGTAGATTTACACCTTACAGACTAACTAAATAAGAGAGGAATATAGCATAAGCTTTTCTGAGCCCAAGTTCACTTCATCAGCTGCTGTGAAATGACATGCACAGAGCAGTGCAGTTTTCAAGTATTCTGTCTATACAGCAAAAAGGAGATATAATGCCCCATGGTGTATTACAGAGTATGTGCTCACCTGTGTTCTTCAGGCCTGTAACACATTTTACCAGTTTCTCTATCCAGCAATATCTCCAAAGCCTGCCATGCTAGCCACTTGGCCTTTTGCACTTAGGAGATATAAGTGTCAGTGTTTTGCCATGATTGAGCAACGATTTATGTAGGGAGAAACAGGTATACAGATGAATATATTCTGTTAAGGATAGCCCTTGGAACAATACTAGATTACATTCAATTTATTCTTACACTGTCTTCCTCATAGGGTGAGCCTGGTCCTCCCGGTCCCGCAGGGTCAAGTGGTCCCCCTGGAGCAAGAGGAGAACCTGGTCCCCAAGGTCATATTGGAGCAGTTGGTCCTCCTGTAAGTAAAAATATCTCAAATGGGCTTGGAAATATTGTGTACACTCATGTCTGCAAAGGGCTATGAATTCCTTTTGATATAAGGATAATCATTTCTTATTCTTTCCAGGGCCTTACTGGAAGACCTGGAAGCTCAGGTCCTAAAGGTGAAGTAGTAAGTATTCTGCCACATTTTCATTATTTGCTGTTTTTGGTGGAGTTTCAGTTTTGATTCAGGAGCCCCAGTTTGCTCATGTAAGATTCCTTCCTTCCCATCCAGGGCCCTTCTGGTATTCCTGGTGCTCCTGGATTAAGCGGAGCTCGTGGTCCTCCTGGCCCCCCAGGTGTTAATGGAATTCCTGGAGCAAAAGGCCCACCGGTGAGTCTCCGACATGCATTGTACAAGTGTACATGACAGGAAGAAATGGCATAGGCTATTCTATTACCATTTAAAATACCTTTGAGTATGTCCCATTTTTTGAGATATTAGAATTTATTATGCCATTTTTTTGCCCTAGCATATTATAATTATTTACCCAACAAATCAGAAAAGCATAATAAAACTAAAATTTTGGTAACAGTATCATATTTCAATACAAGGAAGGCAAAATCTGCCATTTTATGATCACAAGTATTGAAATACATATATATGTCTGGTTTGAGGCATCTATGTCTGGATAGTAACTTGAATCCACTCCTAGCTATTCTGCAATAACATAATAACATAATAAGTGCCATACTACATCAGACCAAAGGTCCATCTAGCTCAGTGTCCTGTCTCTGACAGTGACAAAAGTGGATGTTATAGAGCGAGCACATTGAACCGATACATCTACAATTTCTGTCCCCTATTCAGTACCCTCCTGGCATCCACCATTATTGGTTTCAAGATGCCAGAGGAAACAGTTCCAACCATTCTATAAAAGACAGTAAAAAACAGTTTGTTGTTCCGTAGACAGAAACATCATAGAAGTGAGCTGTCCATTTAAAAAGCTGAAAGTTGTTATTGTTGCAACCTTACTACAATATTCTGGTGTTATGTAGCATTTTTTTTCTGTTTAGGGTGAACCTGGTAAGAATGGTGGAAAAGGGGAGCCAGGTGCAAGAGGCGAGCGTGTAAGTGATTTTTCTAAAACCTTTTCTAAAGTTTTAGTACTTCACCATATTTTCTAGCCTTCATGTTAACAAGCCAAATCTTGTTATCTTAAACCCTGACCAAACTTCCACTGAACACAGTGGGAGTTTTGCTTCCATTAATTATACTTTCACTTGTTCTTGTTTTGATACTAGGGTGAAAATGGTTCTCCAGGATCTCAGGGTCCCCCTGGTGAAGAAGGCAAAAGAGGCAGTAATGGAGAGCCAGGGGCAAATGGTTTACCTGGTACACCAGGAGAAAGGGTAAGCTCCTACAGATCACTATGCTAAGTAGATAAATCCTGTGAAAAATAGGATTAGGCATATACCAAAACTTTGGATTCAGACTCCCCATTTTAGAGGGAAATTTGAGTCTAGACCCATACTGAATCAGACTTCCATAAGGGAATACCCCAAACACTGGGAAATATCTAGCCATGATATAGTCCCAAATGAGACATGGAATGCACAGTTTGGGTCAACATTAATTTGAAATTAATTTAAATAACAATTTATTGTCAGTTAGATACTGATCTTGGAAATAGTGATGTTCCTACCCAAGACACTGAACAAAGAACAGTAGAAAACAGGAAAATATAGTATGACATGTAATAAAGCATGCAAATAGAACCTTAATCTACCTACAACTTGTAGAAGATGACTTTCTGTAAAGTAAATGGAAGTCTAGTAGATAACAAAGACTCTAAAATGAATATGACAAAGTTTGAATCCTATAAAGTAGGGTCAATTAAACCATACACAGGATCATTAGCTAATTATTCTGCCACCAGTTATTTAGCCATTATAGTCTAGAGTTTTTAATAGCAAGGGTGTGTAAATTATTTTTTAAATTATTCAAGCAAAAGCAAGAGTGATAATTTTGTAGTCATTTTAATTTCCTATACCTAAGTAAAACAAATCAAACAAATATTGATTCTGTTTATGTTTGCTAGCCTGGTAATTGAATTTAGTATGTGAGGAAATTATAAGAAAATGATGGAGATGCACAGTAAAAAAATAATAATAATAAAAATAAAAATAAAAGGATATTGCAAGCATGAGTTGGCTCCAAAAGAAAAATATACTTTAAAAAGCAGAAAATACTAGTTAATGTCATTAAAACCAATGTGGCTGCAGACCTTATTTCAAGAAAGTGGAAGTATTTTACGTAACCTTTTCTGGTTTACTCTTTTTGTTTAAAAATTTTAATATTTTAAATATAAAATATCAAATTCAATGTCCATGGAAATCAATTGAATTACTCCCATTGACTTCATTGGGCAGTGGATTAAACTCAAATTGCACAGTATAAACAGCGGGGGGAAGCTACCTGGAGTCTTTACAACAATAGTGACATATCATTTCCATTAATCTCTTTTACTAAATATTTTTTTGGAGCATAAGTAAATACTGCTGGTTGAGAAACATGGTAATTTGTTTTTATAAAGTTTTTAAAAATATGGAGCCACTTGGTTTAAAGGAAATCTACACTTATTTCTTCAACAATCCACAATTTTGTACTGCTGCTATTAACCTGGGTTGATGTTATGCATTATGAGCAGCATTAAAACATCTGCATTCTTTTTTGGTAGGGTTCCCCAGGTTTCCGTGGCCTACCCGGTAGTAATGGACTTCCAGGTGAAAAGGTAACATATGTTCTTTTTATATAGTGCCAATTGTATTTTGTACAATCCATGATGATTATTATCATGATAAGAGTTTAAATTATTTTTTTTTACGTACTGTAGTTCCATAATATATTTTTCCAAATCAATTAAGGGTCCCCCTGGTGAACGTGGTGGTCCAGGACTTCCAGGCTCACATGGACCTCAAGGAGAACGTGGACAAGATGGTAACCCAGGTCCTCCAGGACTTAGAGTAAGATCAGTTCTTTATGTCTAGCATTAAGATAAGCTGTACTTTATTAGAAATTAGTGTGATGGTTCTGCAACCAAATTTGAAATGCCAGTAATAATTACTTTTTGTGAATACCACTAACTGTGACTATCTATTTTTTGTCTTTTAAATTAATTGCATGTGCCTCTGGATTTCCATGTTACATTTAAGAATGCAAGAAACAAGGATTTTTTTTTGGGGGGGGGGGTGAGATCTTTTATTGAACCTACTTCATGGCTGGAATAAATTTAGACAAGCTTTTGAATGAAAGATATTTGTAGAAACCCCTTAAACAAGGTCATTTTAATAAACTTTCTAATTCAGCTTTTCAAGCCAAAGAAAATTAAGTAACAGAGGCTGCTAACGAATGTTAAATAAAAAGCCCTGTGCTTTACCAGAAGAAGCAACACATTAGTTTGACCCGGCTCCACAGCATCTGCATAAATTCGGGAGCTTTGGCAGAGCTTTTGGCACTTGTATCTAATAGCTGATTCAATCAGCTATTAAATAAAAGTACCAAAAAAGCCCCACTAAAGCACCCAATATATACAGATGTTAGGTGAACTGGGTCCAGCTAACTCAATGCCTCTTTTGCACATATGCTGGCCTCAGCATGGGAATACGCTGAGTTTAAAGTAAAGTGTTGTCTGTTTTTTAGCAGCTGTAAGCAGCCAAAATAAATTGCATAAAGATTAAAAATTGTTGTTCGGGTAACCCTAAATTGTATAGGGTTTGCCCACCACCAGTCTTAATTTCATAGAATCATAGAACCAGAAGGGACCTGTAAGATCATCAAGTCTGGTCCCCTGTCATTGACACAAAGTTATTGGGCTCAGACGAGCTCGACAAGGTGCCTGTACGCCTAATCTTGAACAACTCTAAGGAGAACTCGCTGCTGGGAGTGTGTTCCAGATTCTGGTGACCCTTACAGAGAAAAAGCTCTTTCTTATATCTCGCCTGAATTTACCCTCCTTTAGCTTATGCCCATAGGTCCTCATCCTCCCCTGAGGTGCTGTCCTAAAGAGTTGCTCCTCTAGATCTCGATGCTCACTCCTGACATACTTGTAGGCAGTTATCAAGTCACCTAGAGATAATTTCAATTAACTCTTAAATGATTTAAATATATTTTCAATTACTCCAAATAAATGGAATTTATTATCTTTCTCTCCACTGCACAATCTGTGCACAGGGAGTGCCTGTAACTAAGTATTACATGCCTAGATGAGCAGTAGGCTCCAAAGCAGTTACCAGCTCCTTCCAAATAAACATGTTCTTGGCTGCCATGGTTCCCCTGATTTACCTGTGGGAGGACAGGGTGCTATACCTTGTGTTGTTTCTGGGTTTCTGAAAGTCTTATGAAGAGTTTAGATTATGGATTTGCATATAACGGTTTGGATAGGGATGATCCAGCCTCAGGCAGGGGTTGGATTAGATGAGCTCCAGGGCTAGGGACAAAAATGACACATAAACCAATATTAGTGATTGGCAACTGATTCCAAACTGTAGCACAGCAGAAGTTCAATGCACATAAACCACTTTCAAAATGACCAAAACCAGTTTAAGATCAACCTGGGTAGAAGTACCATCAGATGTAACTGATTTAAGTTAAATCAGTTTATTGAACTTCCCCTCCAGATTTAAGTTATCTCACAATCCCCCAGCATTTCAGAATGTTTCACACCACCCCGGCAACCCCTGTCACCTCGAGTAGGGTGGGCAGTCTAACCTTGGCCCAAGTTATCTGCTCCAACCAAGCAGAGATGCATGCTGTAGTGGCCCCCAACTTCTGGCCTGGGCCACTGCAGACTCATGGCTGCATTTCCAGAATCAAAAGTGAATGTCTGTTCACTTGCCTATTGGTTCAATATACACTGCTTAGACTAGCCTGCAGAGACTGAACTGATTCAGCCTTGGGCTTTTTGACTGTCTGTACTTAGCTCAGCAGTCCCTTCCAGCCCTGCTTCTCTACAATTTCTATGATTTCTATATTTGGTCAGTGACTGATTAACTAGCATTAATATGACCCCTTCACAGAGCATTCCTTCAGTTTATGTTGGTATTTTACATGGAGTTAAATCCATAGAATTCAGAAGACTCCAAAGTGCTCAGGATATGTCATGTTACATAGGATTTGTTTCTATATGAACTACCCTGGCAGAATTTTCTTTATAGTCTAGTTATAGTTTTTCTAATTTTATATAAAATGTATTATTTATGCATTTTTCCTGTTATAAAGCCTTTAGTATTTGCAACTCAGTGAAAATGTGTTGTTTGGCAGGCTTTAATAAGCCATTCAGAGAAACTGTAAGGCATTAGATATATAAAGCAGTAACATTCGATATATTATATTGAGAATTGCTTTTTATAGATAATAGCTATTTCTGAGTTCAGAAGTCAGCAGACATATTTTCTGCACAGACTTTTTGGGTAGAAAGAAAGTTTTTATTGAAATGAATAGTATCAACTTAATGCATATAGTTAACAAGAAAAAAAATTACAGCTTTGTAGATAAAAAAATGAAGGCTAAAGTTATTTACAGGACTTAATGAAAATGGTTATATTGCTTACTTTTGTTATCTACAAATACTTCCCCTCCCCATCAAAAGTGTGAAATAATAGAATTTTAGAGTGTGTGTATATGTGAATTCAGCCCATCAATACTAGGAGTGAAAATTTGTCTTGGCTGCCAATATATATAAAATTTGCTTTGGATACCTATATATAGATATCCAAAGCAAATTGTCATTCCCGGTATTGATGGGCTGAATTCCTATTAAATGAGTTATTGATCTGTTTGTCCCACCTTAGAATTTTTTTTTTTTTTTTGGGCCTGAATTTGACTTATGAAACTGGCCATTTAACCCAGCAGAAAGGAAAGATTTCTCCACAGAATGTAATTTAACATTATTATTTTTAAGTAAAAATGGACATATCCTTTTCTTCTAATCCAGGGTTTGACTGGAAGTCCAGGAAGCCCAGGAGCTGATGGCAAACAAGGACCTCCAGTATGTACTTTGCACAAATCTTATGCAAGTGTGTTCTGTGAACTTGACACCCCACATATATACCAGATTCTTTAGCCACGTTATGCCGTAGCACAGTAGTGCTCAACCATTTGGCCCCTTGGACCAAATGAGTGGCAGAGGATGGTCCATGGACTAGTTTGAGCTCTGCACACCAGGATCAGGCCCTGGGGCCTGGCAGCACCAACCCCCTGCCCCATGCACCAGGATCTGGCCCTGGAGGCACAAGCACCACTTCCTCATGCTGAGATTGATCCCAGGGCTTTGGCACCACCCATCCTATCTGCACACAGGGATTGGGTCCAGGGAACCTGGTACTGCCCCTTCACAGTCCCACACTCTGAGATTGGGCCCTGGAACCCAGTGCTGCCCCTGTATGCCAGTATTGGGCTCAGAAGCCTGGCATTGCCCCTGCCTAGCCCTGCAAATTGGGATCAGGTGCCCAGTTAAGTATGCAGGGCTCCCTATGTGTCTAGAAATTTGTCAGCAAGGGAGTGGTGCTACTGCCCCCCCACCATCAAAGGTCCAGACCCATAGGGAGCCCCACAGACCAGATGACATAACATTGTGGCCTGGGCACTGAGCAATGAGGATCCCTCCATAAGTATATCATTTTATATGCTTTTCACTGTAAAGCAGTGTCAAAAACTTATTGCTTAACATTATAATAAACACAGATTACTTTTCCATTCCATTCCATTTCCCATTAGTTGCAATTCAAATAAGTAATAAAAGTTAGCTTAAAATGAAAAATTAACTTGTGTTTTAAGTCAGTCATTGATTTTTCACACTTCACTGTTATTGTTGTTATCATCAAATCTCCCCATGCTTTGACTTCTTTTGCTTTATTAGGGACATCAGGGTGAACCTGGTCGAGTTGGTCCCCCAGGCCAACCAGGTTCACGAGGTCAACCAGGTGTGATGGGTTTCCCAGGTCCTAAGGGTAGTGAGGTAAGTGTGATTTTTTTACTTAAAAAAACATAAACTTAATGAGCCTAAGTGTAGCTCTATAGATTTCAGCGATGTGACGTTGATTTAATTTAGCTGAGAATTAGGCTCTATTTCTTGGAATCTGTCATGCTAGATATGATGCCTGCATATTAAACCTGCATGTTAAATATGGTTTATCTTCTTTTTTTCCAAGGGTATGCCAGGTAAAAATGGAGAAAGAGGTCTTCCTGGTCCCCCTGGCTCACAGGTCAGTTTCTTTAATCAGCTTTTCTTTAGCAATACTGTACAATGCCCTCTGCATTTTCCATCCTTTAAAAAAAATGAACTGCTCCATAACCACAGTATAATTTTGGTTTTTGGTAGGGTCTTCCTGGAAAGGATGGTGAAGGTGGTCCACCAGGTCTCACAGGACCTCCTGTAAGTAGTGTCTAAATAGAGTGTCAAAATTAAAAAAATCTGGAACAGTTGATACATTACATTGTCTGGAAACAGTATATCTGAGGAAATAGTCTTTCTGTGGAATTGATGTTAATAATAAGAGAGGAGATGGCACTGACCAGAGTATGTGCATGAACTCCAAAAAGCATTAAGGTTCAAGAATGCATGTGCCTTATGCAGTGCAGGACAGCCATGACTGGCTTTGATTACCTGTCTGCTCTGTATGGAAGTTGTCCTAGCCATAGTCCAATATCAATCTGCTTCTGTAGTGGAAGCACATGTAGCCCAGAACTATCATAGTACCCAGGGGAGCCCAAAGAGTATCATTATATGATCTGTTCCTCCATGCCCTCTGAGTCACTGGTACAAGGCTAGACCCAGGTTTGCATATTTAGAAGATACTCAAAAATAAAAGACAACATAGTATTTATGAACAATTTGGAGCCTTAGTATTTTTTAAAATAATTTCTATAAAATATTACCAGTATGTTTTTCATCCTTATTTATATAAAAATACTTGACTTGTATATTTCTGCAAGTCAAATCTCTAAGATCAGAAGGTCATGACAGATATAACAAAACCTGATACCTGTAACAAAACACTAATGGTTCATCTTCCTGTTTGCCTTTTTTCCTTAACAGTTTGTGTTTTAGAGTATACGTAGATTGTTTAAGCCAATCCTTTATGTACAGAATGGTGTTGAAGAATTGTATGGCTTCTTTCTTTCCAGGGTGGTTCTGGAGAAAGGGGAGAACCAGGAACTATGGGCCCACCTGGCTTACAGGTATTGTTCATTCTTCTTTTATTGCTTCCAGTATAATATTTTAAAACAAACTAATAAAAAAGGAAATAAATAAATAAACATTTTCAGTAGATCTTATTTCATCATATTTTTAAATGTGAGTGATTGACTCATTTAAAAAGTTAGCCAATCAATATGCAGCAATTATAATATTACTAAGCAAGATGCTTGAGCACTCTCTAAAAATAATCTGGATAGCTAGATGTCTAGTTAGAACTTATTACTTTATACAACACAGCATTCAAGTACTGAAATATTTCCACATTTTTGTATCAACCTTTTTTTCTGTGATTTTAAAGAATAAATAATTTATCTTGGAAAACCTTGACTAGAATAGATATATTTCTGTAAGTTGTCTAGGTAAGTGTTTCTCAACCTCTTTAGACTCAGAGCACCCCTCCATAGCTTTTCTGAATTTAGCAGCACAGCATTTAAAAAAATGTATTTATTTATGATAATTTGTAAACAATAATATGACTGGAAAAAACATTTTTAATAGGTCAACAGGTAAAAATCATTTTGACAGTATGGACTTCTATTTGAAATCTTTCGGATTCTCTTGTGAAGTATGTATGTGTAGGTATCTGTACACTTACTAGGCCTATGCAAAGCTTTGGTCCCCGATTCAATTCAGCGGAGATTTGGCCTGATTTGGTGCCTGAATCTCTGAATCCGAATGGAATCAAAGGACCCTTTAATCTCTCCAAATCAGATCGGAATCCTGAGAATCGACTCAGAGAGATTTAGAAAGATTCAGCGATTCAGACATAGAGACAGCTTTATATGTTTTTTCTACATACCTCTAGGTAGTAGGGGCTCATGAGTGCTGCAGTGCTGGAGAGCATGGAGTGTCCCAGAGGAGCGTGGGGGGCTCCCCAGCATGCTCAGCAGCAGACCTGGAAGTGGACCAAAAGTACTTCCGGTCCACTTCCAGGTCCACTGGGGGGCACACACAGGGGGGCCCCCACACCCCCTCTGGCTTAATGACTGGTGCCTCCTGGGTCTGGGGGGGCACCTGGGGTCCCCCTGCAGCCAATCTCCAAGCTGGGGGGGGCACAAAGGGGCCCCCTGCACACTCTCTGGTAGACCCGGAAGTGGACCAGAAGTACTTCCAATCGACTTCCAGGTTCACCGCCTAGTATGTGGGGGGGCCCCCCATGCTCCTGTGGGACACTGTATCTGCCCCAGCATTGCAGTGATCATGAGCTGTGCCTGCTATCTCAAGGTACATATAAAAAAAGAACTTTTAAAGCTGTGTCTATGTCCAAATTACTGATTCTCTGAATCAGTTTCCAATTTTCAGATTTGGATTCAGCCAAATCAAATCAAAGACAGTGATCTGAATCAACTAATCAAATCTCTGTACCCAATTCAGGCTGAATCTGAATCAGACAGAGCCCATTTTGCACACCTCTAACACTTACCAGTGCCATCACTGCACGGCACCCCAGAACTCCACAAAACACTGGTTGAAAATCCCTGATCTAATTTTTTTTTTCACATATCATCATGAAATATTACAACATATAGCTAAGTCTGTCTAGATAAATAATTATTTATATATATTTTAATAATTGAAGTGGTATCTTTCCTTTGTATAGGGATTGCCAGGTAACCCAGGATTAGCTGGAGAGAATGGAAAACCTGGAGAAGCAGTAAGTTGGTGTTCCTTTTTCAGAAAGAAAGGAAAATCAGAAGAAAAATACATGGGTACATTTACACGAGAGGAGTTCTGCACAACAGACTAATTTGCTGCACAGTAAAGCATCACTGTCTACATGTGCATGGCAATTAGGATTCAGTAGACTAATTTACTGTGCTGCTGGACTGTCCCATCAGATACAAGTGGTATCTAGAACTGCACTAAATTAGTGCACTTAAATGCATGTGTAAACGATAACATCAGGATTAGTTTACTCCTGCTCAAATTAAGCCAGAATATATCCAGTCACCCCTGAATATATTAATTTCACATGTAGACAAGCCCAAGGAGTAGCAATTCCTAAGAGGCTCCCTTCTGAGATTCAGAAAGCCAGTAAGCATGTGTTTTGCAAAGCTGTAATCTATATCAGGCTCCTTCATGCATCAGCACACAGGGGATGATTCATAGTGTCATAGTTTCATAGTTGTAGGGTTGTAAGGGACTTAAGTAGATCATCAAGTCCGGCCCCCTGCCCTGGGCAGAAGTGAATTGTGGGGTCATATGACCTCAGTTAGGTAATTATCAAGCCTCCTTTTAAAGACCCCCAAGGTAGGAGCCAGCACCACTTCCCTTGGAAGTTGATTCCAGATCCTAGCTACCCTGACTGTGAAGTAGTGCCTTCTAATGTCCAGCTTGAACCTACATTCAAACAACTTATGGCTGTTATTCCTTGTTACTCTGGGAGGTGCTCGGGGGAACAGGGTTTCTCCCATTCCCCTCTGGTCCCCCCTGGTGAGTTTATAGATAGCCACCAGATCCCCTCTCAGCCTTCTCTTGTGAAGGCTGAACAGGTTTAGGTCCCGTAGCCTCTCCTTGTAGGGTCTGCCCTGCTGATGGGTTGCTAGTACCAGGAAATGGATGAGGACAGCAGATCAAGAACCCATGCTCAGAATGAAACCATTGGCCAACCCCCACCAGAATCAGTAGAGTAGAGGTGGAGTTGGAAGGATGCAAAGATAATACTCCTAATACAGCCATCATGATGCAGGCAATAATTTTATTCTTAAGTCTTCTTCCTTCAAAACCTAATAAATGATTTAGTAGCTTAAGTTTTAAATTGCTGTCATGCTGTTAGTATATCTGCACTATTAGTGCTGATTCAATTGCCTAATTTCCCTTTTCTACCCACAGAGATAACCCCCTGAAAACAGAGCTAAAATCCAAACTCTTAAACCTGTGAAACCATGATATTTTGACACTATTTCTGCTCCACTCTCTAAGAAGTTCTACATTTAGCATTTTTAGCCCATGCTACTTACTCCTTAACAGGGGTCAGTCAACATCATGGTGCTTCAAATTCTATTTTATCATTTTCAGGGGTAGCACCAAAACTTATACATTTGTAGTTAATTTATGTTTCATTTTAAACAGGGAATAAAAGGTGAACCTGGAGGTCCTGGACTCCCAGGCAGTAAGGTAAATATTACAACAACATTTTCATCATGAAACATATAAATGAGATAATAAATGCTAAATCATAAGGCAAGTTCAAGACAAACATTGGAGACAAAGCAGTAATAGTTATTTTTTTTATCACAGGGTGAAAATGGCATCCCAGGTGAACGTGGTGCACAAGGTCCTCCAGGGAGCCCTGGAGCTAGAGGTGGAATAGGTCCACAGGGTCCAGAAGGTTCCAAGGTACCTACACATTATTCAAATTTTTTACTTTGTGATGTGCATCATTCTGATGTAGTCAAAGTTAATCTTCTTTTTTTACTTTCCCTTTGTACATTCAGGGTCCTCAAGGTCTTCCAGGCCCCCCTGGTGGTCTAGGACCTCCTGGCCTACAGGGAATGCCAGGGGAGAGAGGACCTGGTGGCAGTGCTGGACCCAAAGGAGAAAAGGTAGCAATGATTTTCATCTCACTCTATGCTGTGGCATAATCCACACTTAGAAAAAATGCTCAGTTGTTATGCATTCACTTTTAGCTAAATGTCATACTTGATGCTCATCTGCAATTCCTTTTAATGCTTCTAAAAGTCAGGGTTTTTTTTCTCTAAAAATCAGGATATAGATTTGAAAAAGACTACAGCCTGTAAAGATATAGTGCTAACTATGCTTTTCTAAATTAGTACACACTCTCTGGATGTGTCTACATTAGAGTTGTGCGAAGCTTCAGTCCCTGATTCAATTTGGCAGAGATTCAGCCCTATTCAGTGGCCAAATCTCCAAATCCAAACTGAATCAGAGGACACTTTAATCACTCCAAATCAAATCAGAACCCTCCAAATCGATTTGGAGAAATTCAGATAGATTCAAAGATTTGGAAATAGAGACAGCTTTCAATGTTTTCTCTACATACCTCTAGGTAGTAGGGGCTCATGAGTGCTGCAATGCTGGGGAGCATGGAGTGTCCCATAAGAACATGGGGTCTCTCCAGCATGCTCAGCAGCAGACCTGGAAGTGGACCAGAAGCACTTCCAGTCCACTTCTGGGTCCACCGGCAAGCACACTGGGCCCCCCCCCCCCCCCCAGCTTTTCCCCACCTCAGGGGC